AGGAGGAGGAGGAGGAGGAGGAGGAGATGGAGGAGGAGGGAGGAGGAGGAGGAGGAGGAGGAGGAGAGCCCCGGACCCCAGCTTTCGGCCGCGACCTCCGAGCAGGATCGACATCCGTGAGGGTTCCCCGGAGCCTGCAGGCGGGCGAGCACGCCTGGCGCGAGAGAATGGCAACGCAATGGGATCTGAGGGTACACGTCGATCATGGCTAGTCGTGCTCATTTCTAATTGTGCTCGTTCCCACTTGTTCCTGGCCCTCCAGTGGCCAGGAAGAGGCCCTGGATGGAACACTTAGGAATGAAAGGATCTTGGCCCCGCAAAAATCAAAGAACTCTCGAATACTTATGGGAATGAACAATGCGTATCTCAGAGCCCGGACTGTCTGGTCGGCGCTCTCCGATCGCCAAAAATAGGCGGGCCCAGGCATCGAAGAGCACCGAGAGGCCCCGGAGGTCGGTCTATAGGGGCCGTCGTCGTCGTCGACGCCGGGCCGCCCTCCGCGGTCCGTCGCGGCCTCGCCCTCGCACGCACCACGCAGCAGCAAGCAGTCGCCTGAGAGGGGGGGGCGCGTCGTCGTCGTCGTCGACGTCGTCGCCGCGTCGTCGACGTCGTCGATGTCGTCGTCGACGTCGTCGCAGCGTCTTCGTCGTCTCTGGCGTTATCGCCGCCGCCGCCGACGTCCTCGTCGTCGCGTCGGAAGCTGTTGGAGCGATTCAGGGGGTTCTTGGGAGGGGCCACGCGCCAACCCCCCCTGTTCCAAGGCGTAAGCCCCGAGCAGGGCATCGCAAGGCCACGGCTCCCAGCCGCAGGAAGCGCCACGATCTGGCCCTGGGGTGTGCCCCGAGAGCTTGGCTCGGGTCGGACGAACGGGGGGAAACACTTAACCCGTATCATCAAGATACGCGATAAGGATGCAAGGGCCCTGGAAGGCCATGGCGACACTTTGTGAGCGGGGCGCGGCCAGCGAAACCGGCCAAGGATGGGCCGAAGGGGAAGAATGCAAAGGTAACCTTGGAAAGTTGCTCTGCCTTGCTAATAGGGTTGACTGTAGAATGCAGGGTCAACGAAGCAGCTCACGTCCTTGGCGGGTCCCAGCGCCTGAGGCTTGTATCGATGAAATCGCCCGGCGGCAGGGCCGAAACCAGCTGCACGTAGCAGATTTCGGGCCCCCCCCCCCTGTAGAGGCGTCCTCGATGTGGTCCGAGTAGATCGGGTCGGAGGATTGCGCCGAATCGCCGACGCATCACCGATGCATCGGCGATGCATCGGCGACGTCAGTGTGGAGAACATCGAGCCCTACATCGAGCCGCATCGCCGATGCAGTTCCGATGCATCGTCGACGCGGTGCGATCCTCAGACTCAGTCTGCTCCGATTCCATCTGGGAAGCCTGGACCTTCTCAGGTCCCCCTGATTCGCCTGGCCCACTGGGCCCCCCAGGCCCCTTCCTCCGAGGCCCCCGGCCACTGTGTTGATGCTGGGCTCTCTGTCAGTGCCTCGCTCTCCTGGGGCTTTGCTGCGGCTTTGCTCTCGGGAGGCATTCGACCACGCGGGCGGAGCTGGCTCTGTTGTGCTACGGCTCTGGAAGCACACCACCTGCGGCGGCGGAGAGCTCTCGAGAGATCCGTCCCACAGGAGTGCGCCCCAAAGCGCCCATCCGCCTGGACCTCCGAGGAGGCCGAGGAGGAGGCCGAGGAGGACGAGGACGAGCAGGCGGTGGTCGTCGCCGCCGACGGCGCCCGTGGCGCGCGACGCGAGGTCCAGCCGGATGGGCCCCCGGGGCGCCGACCTCCGGGTTGCACCCATACGCTCGGCCTCCGCCGCGGGCCGCGGCCCTCGCCGCCGCGCCCAGGGCGCGGCTCGGAGAACGGGCCGGGGCCGCCGTGCTCCTGCGTGGTCTGCCGTTCTCCGGCACGGTCTGCCGTGCGGGGGGGGCCCGGGGGGGGGGGCGGCACTCGGAGCGACCTGCCAGGGTGGTTCGACGGGGTCGACGCTGGGCGGCTCTGCCGCGGCAGGACCGGGCTGGCTCAGGACACGTTCCAGGGAATGTCTGGAGCTAGTTGACGGACTTCGTCTCTGGAGCCCGTGCGGCACAGCAGGGACTCCTGGAAATCTGGAAAACTTGGAACGTATAGTGGTCATGCGTTCTATCTCCTCATACGCGGGCGATCGGCATCGAGGGGCGCTCTCTGGACCTGAAGGTTCGGGCTCCCGACCCTGAAGACCGTGAAAGTAGCCCAGCATGTCGGCCCGCGCCCATGTGGGCGGTTATGGGAACCCTGGGTACGCTAGCCGCTGGCCTCTGTCGGGGGGTGCGGTGGGGGCATTGGACAAGGACCCCTTAGATAAGGAATCCAGGGTCCGGAAGCCCGTGGAACTCCGACTGCTGTTTGGCCATGGACAGCAAGCACCCGCACCCTCATCAGATCAGGAATCATCCGGGGTCTGAAGCCTCGTGTGCACACTCCTCAGCGAACGCCCCGATCGTATGCTCCTGCTCTCCCCCACGTCCTTCGCCGACCTTTCCCCTGGCCCCTCCCCGGGCGGAGCCGCCCTCTCTTCTTGCACTGCCGCAGGCCGCCTCTGCCGAGGAGCGCCAGAAGAACCCCATCGATCCCTCGAGGGCGAGACAGCCTGTCCTACGGCTGCGGACGGCCAACGCCTGCCTTGTCGACGTGGCCCGCGGATTCTGCCACCGCACGGTCCGTCCAACGCTGGGCCCGAGATGACAGGGAGCTCGGAAATGACGACCAACCACGCACACACACATTGCCCCTAGTTCGGGAGGCCGCCCCAACGTCACGGACGCTGGCGCAATGCACCTCTCTAAGTGGATCACCCCCACGTCCTGGCGCGCGGAGCGCGGCAGGGGCGGCGGCGGAGGCACCGCCAGAGGGCCCCAGCGCCGATCCAAGAAATCCGCGCGGAGCTCCGAGAAATTAACTACTATGTTGCTGCTTTTTCCCAGCCCTCCTGTGTTGGGCCCTCGTTTCGAATATAGAGCTCAGTGTTCTCCACCCCTTCCTCCTCCTCCTCCTCCTCCTCCTCCTCCTCCTCCTCCTCCTCCTCATCCTCCTCCTCCTCCTCCTCCTCCTCCTCCTCCTCCTCCTCCTCCTCCTCCTCCTCCTCCTCCTCCTCTCCCTCCTCCTTGTTCCTCCCTGCTTGTTCCCTCCTCATGCCGTCTGCCTCCTCCTCCTCCTCCTCCTCCTGCGCTGCCTATGTTTCTATTGCTCGTCGAGCAACGCGCCGCCACTCCCGACTCCCAAGTGAAGCATGCGCAGGTCTGCCACTCCAGACGGGAGGCTGCCGCCGGCACGACTAGAACATCTGCGGGCACCGATGACTTGGAGCCGCCCTCTAAGCAGGCCGGGCGGGGCCAGGCAAAACAGGTCGGGCCCTCCTCATCCTCGCTCCTCCTCGCTCCTCCCATCCCCCTCCCTCCCCTTTCTCCTCCTCCTCCTCCTCCTCCTCCTCCTCCTCCTCCCCCTCCTCCTCCTCGTCCTCCTCCTCCTCCTGCTCCTCCTCCTCCTCACTCCAGACGGGAGGCTGCCGCCTCCACCTCGCCCTTGCGGGCTGCGCGCCTCCGACGGGGCCGTCCCGCCGTGCGGCCGAGCGCCGCAGCAGGAGGAGGAGCAGTCGAGCTGCCTCCGCACGGGGCCTCCGAGGGCCTCGGGGGGCCCCTGCGGGAGGCAAGGGTGCCCAGGGAGGCCCAAGCAACTAGGAACGCACTCCAGGCGATGGACCTGTCTTCCGCCACCTTACGGAGGTGGCGGACGAGGAGGAGGAGGAGGAGGAGGAGGAGGAGGAGGAGGAGGAGGACGAGGAGGAGGAGGAGGAGGAGGACCCCCTCCCCCTCCAACTTATGGTGGTCGTGGTGGAAAACATGCCCATCACCATGATCCCCCAGATGTTACAAGATCTTGTGGGTATTCGCCCTCCCCGCCATCTCCCAGATGTCCCTTTAATTATCTGGAAATCTACGTTTCTTTGTGTCTGTGCCGATGTTTCCCTCCTGATGAGGCTCCCCAGAGACCTCCAGGGAAGAGACAAGCCTTCGACTTGCCGCGCGGAGGGCGCCTCTCAAAGACGCTGGCCACTCGAAGGCTGCCCGTGGCACTCGGGCACCGCCCCCGCGGGCGGCGACGGCGCGAGGCGGTGGCGCGCGGCAGCGGTGACTCGAGGCTGGGCTGGCGAAAAGCGCGGCGGCAGCGGCAGCGCGGCCGCGGCGCTCGCCCCGGCGGCCTTCGGCGGCGGCGGAGCCGCCCGGAGCGCTGGAGCAGTTGCCGCCGCCCGGGGCGCGGAAGGCGAAGCCGGCGCAGCCCTCGGGCGGCGTGCGCCGGCGCTCCGAGGGGTCCCCCGCGGAAACGAAGAGGCGAGAAGGCAACTTGCCGTCGCTCGGACGTCCATTTCCCGTGCATTTGTTGCTCGATGGTCCAGGATGGTCCTCGATGGTTCTCGCCGAGAACAAATGCACACGTCCGAGCGATGCCAAGGAGAAGGCAAGAATCGATACGTGAGGCTTGACAGCGATTTCGGCCTCTTGGGGCGTGTCTGTGGCAGGGAGTCTCTGTGGAGCTCCGGCAGCACGCGGAGCCGCCTCGGAGAGCCTCTCAGAGGTGTATGTCGGGGGCCTCGGGGCGGGTCGAGGCGATGTGCGCGAATGGGAGGCGGTGGAGAATGGAGGAGGGGAAGGAGGCAGGTCAGGGGGGGCGCGGCCAATAGCGAGGAGCAGGGGAGGAATGATTCGCGGAGCGGTGGAGGGGAGGAACACGGGAGGAGGAGGAGGAGGAGGAGGAGGAGGAGGAGGAGGAGGAGGAGGAGGAGGAGGAGGAGGAGCAAAGGGAGGATGAGGAGGAGGAGGAGGAGGAGGAGAAGGAGGAGAAGGCGGAGGAGCAAGACCAGAGTAAACCTAAGCGGCCCCAACGATGCTGCGATGAACACACATTTCAAAGACCAGCGCAGTATGGGCCTCCCATCTCGACGAGAGCCCGACTCTGAGAAGGAACTGAGTTGAGTATAGTATGGAATGCGCCTCTTCTCCCTCCCCCTCCCCCCTGCTCATCCCCCCAGCTCCTCGCTCATCCTTCCCTCCCTACCCCGCCGCTCCCGCCAGCTCCTCCTCCACCGCCTCTCCTATCCTACCTACGCCCCCTCCGTTCCTCCGCCTTTCCGTCCCGCCTTCCCCCCTGAGACCCGACGTCGTCAGCACATGCAAGATCGCGAATCAAAAGAACACGCGACCAGAGCCCTGGACCCCATCTTGTCGTTGCTGCTTTTCGAGCCAGGTCGGTCTGTGAGGGCCGCGGGGCCCGACAATGTGCGAAGAACAACGCCGGGCTCGCAAAACCATTGCGACGCCAGGGTCTCGGGGCCATCCCTCCTCCTCTCCTCCCCCTCCTTTTCGTCGCCCCTGGCTGCTGCGATGCCTCTCGGCGACGACCTTCGAACCCAACCCGCCCCAGCCATCGGTTCTCCTGAACCGTTGGAAGAGTCGAGGGCAGGGCCTTGGAGTTGGGCCAGCTCCTCGAAGCATTCCGGACCCTGCCCCCGCCGCGCATCGGGCTGCCTGGATCGTGGATCGGCGAGGGCAACGCTGAAACAAAGGAGGACCCTGGACCCGTTGGGAGGGGACCTACGCGAGGACAAATGAGCAACATTGGGGACAGAGGGGGCCTCTTCTTGAGGGATGAAAAAACGACCCTACCCTGGGTTACAAGTGCGCGGTCTGTAAACCTCCTGGGAACCCCCAAAGCCCAGAGCCGCCAGGACGCGGCACATCACGCAGGGTTTACCCTGTCAGCCCGCAGGAGTTTCAGCGCACAGCGCCTCGTAAACCAGGGTAGGGGCGTTTTTGTTCTGCCCTTGATTTTCTGCAGATGCATCAGGCCAAGCCGCCCAGAGCCGCTATCCCTAGTGTCGAAGACGGTGACCTCAGTGAGGCACGTCTTCCTCGCGATATGAGGGATCGGGGATTCTTTCGTGCTCGATGGGCTAAGGCTCGGACTTCGCCGCCGACCCCGCGGCGGGGGTGTCTTTGGGATGGGGAGGAGGAGGAGGAGGAGGAGGAGGAGGAGGAGGAGGAGGAGGAGGAGGAGGAGGAGGACGAGGAGGAGGAGGAGGAGGAGGGGGAGGGGGAGGGAGGAGGGGAGGAGAGGAGGAGGAGGAGGAGGAGGAGGAGGAGGAGCAGGACGAGGAGGGGGACGAGGAGGGGACCCCCGCTCCCGCTGCTCCTCCTCGCCCGCCGCGGCAGGCGGGGGGGCGCCTCGCTCAGTGCGCAGCGCAGCGCGCAGGCGGACTCCGCGCCCTCCGCCGTGGCGGCGCCGAGGGCCTCTCGGCTTGGAGGGTCGGCGAACGGCTGGGAACGCCACGCAGGGCGCAGCATGTTTTTTTCTTAGAGGGGGATGAGGATGAGGCGGCGGAGGAGGAGGAGGCGGAGGAGGAGGAGGGGGAGGAGGAGGAGGCGGCGGAGGAGGAGGAGGCGGAGGAGGAGGAGGGGGAGGAGGAGGAGGAGGCGGAGGAGGAGGAGGAGGAGGAGGAGGAGGCGGAGGAGGAGGAGGAGGAGGAGGAGGAGGAGGAGGAGGAGGAGGAGGGCGGGGAGGAGGGGAGGAGGAGGAGGAAGAGGAGGAGGAGGAGAGGAGGAGGAGGAGGAGGAGGAGGAGGGGAGGAGGAGGAGGAGGAGGAGGAGGAGAAGGAGGAGGAGGAGGGGGAGGGGGGGAGGAGGAGGAGGAGGAGGAGGAGGAGGAGGAGGAAGAGGAGGAGGAGGAGGAGGAAGAGGAGCAAGAGGAGGAGGGGGAGGGGGAGGGGGAGGAGGAGGAGGAGGAGGAGGAGGACGAGGAGGAGGACGAGGAGGAGGAGGAGGAGGACGAGGAGGAGGACGAGGAGGAGGAGGAGGAGGAAGCCGATTGTAAAAAGGCGACGGAGCTGATGTCAAAAGGCGATTGTAAAAGGTCGCCGGGCAAGCTGGGAACTCCACATGAGCCGAACTGCAATAGGCAAACAAGGTACAACACGATTGATGACTATCCCGTTTCCCCTTGTTTCTCTGGCCGCTCCTGCATGTGTCATCGACCCGATCGTCCCTGCAGCATTTTGCGCGAGACCTGTACTCTCAGGAGAGGGGTGATCCAGCGCCTTCCTCCATATGTCGACTGCAGCTGCATTTGCTTGATATTGTCATTCTACCGTGGTTTGGAGAAGCAGCTCATGGGGGGGGGAGCGTCGAGCTGGAATCGGCGATCCATCGCCGAGATGTAGCCCTGACAGCGGATCCCCAGGTTCCTGGGCAAGGTGGGCTCTCGTGCGCCTGTCGGCGATCAATGGGCGAAAGGGGGTCGATGCATCCACCCCCCTGGACGTTCCGTAACGCTCTGAGGGCGTTCTGGAACGCTCTGGAAAGGATTTGTCCTCGCCCTGGCCCCGTCCGGCTGAGCCCATCCCCCCCTAACGTTGCCCTTGAAGCAGACGCTGCCGGTCTCACTGTGCACCGATCGACCGCGCCATGGCACGGCCACGGGGCAAACCACAGGCCAACCGCTGGTGCCACGGCGGCTCGCCCTGGCTCTCTGCATCCTTCCGGGGCCTCCTGGAGGCTCCTCGTCGCCACGGCTGACGTCCGCCGGGAAGAACGTGTCAGAATGGGCCTGGGGAGGGATCCAGGGCCCCACTTCGGGTGCATGTTCGGAGGCAACTACTGGGGGGCCTGCGCCGGAGGGGTCAAGGAGGATTGCGCCCCATTGGGGGGCTGCTACGCCAGACTAGGCCGCGGAGTATTGAGCGGGGCTACGCTGGATTAGTATTGGGTCGGGCATGTCCTCCTACAGGCAGATCTTGGGCGGAAAGCAAGCATATCCCAAAAAGGTTCAACAAGTGTTTAAAACTACGCAAACAAATCATAGCCATACTATTTTTGATTATTTTTGAATCTCCCTCCTGTAGAGGGACAGGCCCGACTTCAGATTAGCAAGCCGGATTGAGCCAGATCCAGCGGGAATAGGCTGTATTCGGCTGGATCCTGGACCGAGACAAGGTCAGTCCTATAGGAGTCGCACCCGAAGGGAGAGGGGGCCGGGCGGGGGCGCCGCCGCGTTCAACCACAGGACGCGCAAGGGACCACCCGCGGGACAGCCGATAGAGGCCTCCTAGATGAGATCGGAATTTGGGGTCCGGAGATCGCGCCGAATCGCCGATACATCGACGATGCATCAGCGATGCATCGGCGATGCACCGGCGATGCACCGGCGATGCACCCGCGACGTCGACGTGGGGCAAGCCGGGCTCTACATCGAGCCACGTCGGCGATGCACCGTCGATCTACTGCGCGATCCTCCGACCCCACCTGCTCGGACCCCATCTAGGTCTAGGGAGGTCTAGAGGAGGAGGAGGAGGAGGAGGAGGAGGAGGAGGAGGAGGAGGAGGAGGAGGAGGAGGAGGAGGAGGAGGGAGGAGGGCTTGGAGGAGGAGGAGGAGGAGGAGGAGGAGGAGGAGGAGGAGGAGGAGGAGGAGGAAGGCGAAGGAGGAGGAGGAGGAGGAGGAGGCCTAGAGGAGGAGGCGGAGGATGAGGAGGAGGAGGAGGAGAAGGCGGAGGAGGCCGAGGAGGAAGAGGAAGAGGAGGAGGAGGCCTAGAGCTGAAGGACAACCGCCAGGCCCCGCTGCGAGCCCCGAGGCCGCCCACTGCGAGGGCCTGCGACCGCCGCCTGGCGCGGAGGAGGAGGAGGCGGAGGAGGAGGGGGAGGAGGATGAGGTGGAGGAGGAGGAAAAGGCCGAGGAGGAGGAGTAGGAGGAGGAGTAGGAGGAGGAGGAAGAGTATGAGGAGGACAGCCGAAGGACAACCGCCAGGCCCCGAGCAGCGCCCCGAGGCCGTCCGCTGCGAGGGCCCGCGCCCGCCGCCCGGCGGCGCCGCGCATCTCGCCGCTTTTTTGGCAGCGCGGGTGCACAGCATTTTTCGCGGTGCGCTGCGCCGCCTTGCTCCGCGCTTCGCCCTGCACTACGGTGTGGGCATTTTTTTTTCAATCTGTGTGGGCGCCGAGCGGGCTCGGCGGATTCTTGCATAAATTCAAGGCGGAGAGGCGGAGGGCCGCGCGGGCGCTTACAGCCGCCTGCCGAGGCCGCCTCAGCCCGCGGCGCGCGTCCCCGCGCGGCCTACGCGGGCGGCCGCTGCCGTCGCGGCTCGCCCGCGCTCGCGGGCCGCCGCTGCGTCCGCGAAGCCGTGGGCTCCACGTACACCCACGAGCCCTGGGCGGGACCGCCGCGGCTCGGCGGCCTCCTCCCGCGGGGCCGCCGCGGCCAGCCGCCGCGTAGCCGCGGCGCTCGGCGGCGCGGCCGCCTGGCACCCAGCGCCAGCCGCAGGCGGTGGGGGCTGGGCGGCTGCTGGCAGCCGCTGCGCTGGCACGGGCGTTGCCACGAGCGCCTGCCCCTCCGCGCCGTGGCCCTGCCTGGCCTGGAGCGCCGCCGCCCAGCGCCGGCGCGTGCACTCCGATGGCGAGGCCAGCGGCGCGATCGGCTCCTTCGACGCTGGCAGGATGCCGCGAGCGAAGTCCGACCGCGCCTGGGCTCTGGATCCCTTCTTGCACTTGGGCTGCCCAGCCGCCGCGCTGGCCCCGCACTGCTTGCCCAGGCCGCGGTGCGCGTACCTGGGGAGGCGGCAGTACATCCAGCAAGCCGCGCAGACCAAGAAGGGCTCGGAGTCGTCTCCTTCGACTCTCGACTCCATGAGGAGGTGGCCGTTGACCCTCCATCCCGCTGGACGGGCTGCATCAGCCGCCTCCGCAGTGGCTGGTCCGCTGCTCGCCGCCTCCGCCGCCGCCAGGCGCGGGCAAGGCGCGGGGGCTGAGGCCTCGCGGCGCCTCGGCTGCACCTGCGCCCTGCGCTGGGCGACACGTCGCAGGGCTTCCGCGGGCGACTCGGCCGAGGCGGGGCGGCGCCTCATGGGCGAAGGGCGCGAGCTGGAGGCGCCAGCAGCCGCCGCCGCTGCCAGGGCCGCCGCCGCGGCGAGGAGGGGGCCGCCATCAGCCGCCGAGGTCTGCGCCTCGGCGCAGCCACCGCAAAGCTCCGCGTCGATCTCCTTCACGTTGCCATCGCCATACAGCGCGACGTGCTCCGCGTCGCGTGGCGCCTGGCGAACCTGCCGCGGGCGGCGCGCCAAGGGGGCAGCTGGGGGCGGCAGGCTGCTGTCTGCAGGCCGCGGCGGCTGCCCAGGGCCTCCGCCAGCGGCGTGCCCGACAGCGGCGGCTGCCTCGCGGCCCTCGGGGAGCTCGATGGGTTCCGAGATGCCGCTGCCGCGCACCAGCGCCGCGCCGTCAGGAGCAGCCAACAGCGCGTCCAGCTCCGCGATGCCCGCCGCGCGCACCTCCACGTCGAGCTTCTTCCCGAACTGGCCGCGCCCCTGGGACTGCGACTTCGGTGGGCTGAATCCACCTGTCCCAGGGGCGGGCTCCGCCGCGGCGGCGAATAGGGGGTCGGCCTCGCCGTCGAGCTCCGCCGCAATGTAGGGGGAGAGGTCCCGCAAGCCCGACTCCGCGTCCTGGACCTCGAACTCGGCGGCGAAGCGCGCTGCGAAGCGGGTGCGGGCCTGGCAGCCCTGGAGCAGGCGGGCCCCCTCGTCGGCGATGGCGCGCATCGCCGCGCCCGCCTTCGCGAGCTGGCCCACGAGGCGGTTGCCGAAGAGCTCCACCTCCATGAGGTCGCCCCGCTCGATGGCCGCCCGCGAACGGGAGGGGATGAGCTTCAGGGCAGACGGCGCCGCACCCCTCGCCTGCGCCACCCACTCGCCAACGGTCGTGAGAACCGCCACCGACCAGACCGCGCTCCTGATCATCAGGTCGTTGTTGACGCAGGAGCCGCCCGTGAAGACGAGGGTGCCCGCGGGCACCACGAGTGCGCCCGCGTCCCAGCCGCGCGAGCGGCGCGCCCCGCCAGGGTCACAGCGCGGCCTCTGCACCTGGTACTGGGCGCCGACGAAGAGGTCCTGGCAGAAGAGCTCCTCGTAGCGGTGGCCCATCAAGCTCACCAACTCGGCAGTTCGCTTGAACCGGTCGTGGTCGGTCCGCGCGAAGAACTTGCCGTCGAGATAGACTGAGGCTGCCCCAAAGCCAAGCTGGCGGGCGAGCGCGAGCCCCAGGTTGCGTGGGTAGACCGCCATGTCACAGCTGTTCGCATCCTTGCCCCAGACCAAAGTGGGCTGGTGGTCCTTCTCCCACTTGACACCGTAGCGGCGGCGCACCCTGCACCAGATGCGCAACCACTTGCCCATGAGGCCGATCGGGCGGCGGCCTCCGTCCGGCTTCCCCAGGAAGAGGAACACCGTGGTGAAGAGGGCCGTGGGCTTCGGCTGCAACACCCAAGCCGTGAGTACCTCTGCCATCATATCGGCGAAGGGCCTGCCCTGGGAGAGGACCAGCCGCGGGTGGAACGCATCCCAGCCCAGAGCGGTCTGCTTCGGGAGCGACTTCGCCGCCTCGAGGCTGTCGCCCACCGTGAACGGGGGCAGCACCATGGAGCAGATCCAATCGGCTGGTCTGGTCCTGTGCTCCCTATCGGCTCCTTTCCAGAGGGCCCTCCACTCTATGCGGATCTGGTTCTGGGCTTGCTGGACTACAACGGGGAGCGTCAGCCAGTCGGGGCAGTGCGCGATCACCGAGTCCAGCACCTGATCGCGGTCCTGTATGACATCGTGGGCTCCTTTCGCCCCTTTTCGTCGAGGCCACGTCCACGTAGTCCATCCAGCGCAGCCTGGCCGCCTTGGCTTCTTCTTTGCAGAGTCTCGCCGCCGCGCTCTCGATCATCTGCAGGAAGGCCTGCCCTTGCACAGAGGGCTCTTGGATCACCACAGTCAGTGAGTCCAGCTTAGTGCCTTCCAACATGGAGCAGCCCGCCTGCTCGCACTTGGGCCCCAAGCTCTTGGCCACCTGCACCAGGTGTTTCATGTAGCCCCCGTGCCCCTCAGGGGGTGAGCTGACGGCAGCAGCCGCACTGAGCTGCCTGGCGATCCTCCCGAGGCAGCGCCAGCACTTGGTGAGGGGGCTAAGCTTCCTGACAGCCTCCGTGCGCTGCAGCTTGGCCAGCTGGAGGGGCTTGGCCTGCGGTCGCCCTGGCTGGGGCTGGGCTGCAGGCTTCGCGGCTGCCGCGGCGCCCGCGCGGCCGCCAGGCGGGCGGCTGCCCGCCGCCTTGGGGCTCCGGACCTCAGGGGGTCTCACGCCCTCGCCCTTAGCCTCGCCAACTTGAATTGGGTACCCACTATTCCGTATGGGCCCCTGGCTGGGCTGAGGACTGCCAGACCTTCGGTCGGGCCCATCCAAGTCCGCCGCAACGCTTGGCTCTGTCCTGCTACTGAGCGCCTTGAACATGGAACCGTGGCGCGCATCGTCGGAGCGTCGGTCCTGGCGCAGCAGCGGCCCAGTGAAGGGAAGCCCTTCCCCAGCGTCGGCCTCGACGTTGGCCGCCAGGTAGGCGTGCATGCCGCCGCTCGGCGCCGCCTTCGCCGCGGGGCGGCTGGGCGCCGCCGCCTCTGCCTCCTCAGCCCCGTCTGGGACGGGCGGAGCCGCGCTTACGGGGCCGCCGCCTGGCAGCAGGGTGCTACCCGCGGGCCTGGCCGCTGCCAGCAGCAGCGCCAGCAGCAGGTGGAGGGGCCGCCGCAGCAGCCTTTTGGTCGGCAGCGCGCTGTCGGGCCGCCTCGTCTGCCGCTCGGCTCTCCACGGCGGCCGCTGGGGGGGACCCTGCACCAGGCGCAGCGCCTGCTAGTGGGGCGGCGGCAGCAGCAGGGGCGGCCGCCTGTCCTGCTGGCTGCGGCGGGGCGGCCGCGCCCCGCACGGGGGTGCCAGAGGCCACGGCTGCTGCAGGCCCCTCCTCGGTGCGCTTGCGCTTCTTGGCCACCTCCTCCTCGATCTGGCGCTTGATGCGCTGCTGGTGCTCCTGGCAGTTGCGCTCGAACGTAGCCTGCGCCCCCTGCATGATCTGGAGCCCCTCGTCACAGAGGCGCCTGAGGGTGGCCTGCGCCTCCTCCTCCAGCTCCCCGAAGTAACCCTTAGATAAGGAACCCTTAGATAAGGAATCCAGGGTCTGGAGCCCAGTGGAACTCCAATCGTGGTTCGGCCATGGATATCACCCCCGCCGGCCCTCATTGGAGAAGGAATCCTCAAGGGTCTGGCGCCTCCTGAGACTATTCCTTAACAAACGCCTGCACCGTATATGTTCTTCATGTCTGTTGGATGCTCCAGTTCGGAAACGTGAGCCTACACGTCACCAGTGTCACTGCACCGACCTTGCAGACGTGCTGCAGCGGATTTTCTGGCGCAGATTACTGGCAATGCAAAACCGGCAACGGCGAGCGAAAAACGTGAATCTCACGTGGATTAGTTTTTGCCTTCATTCCTGACCCAAAACAAATCCGAACGAAATTGTCTTCGAAATCCAGAACGAAACTCTCCAGGACACTCCGGGCCCAGCTGATTGTTTTCCGGCGAAATTCGATCTGCGATGTTTCGCGCCATGACAAGTGGCGTGCTGCTTGGTAATCCTATGGCTTTTCAGGGTCTGGGACGACGTCGGTGTAATGCGGTGTATACGTTCTTCCCCGTTTCCCCGGGGAAGCAACGAAGTAAACACCAAGATCCCGTATACACCAGGATTCGCTTTCCTGTGCGAAATTTCAGTGCGGCTGGGGAAAAAACGTGTGTCTGTGTAAATAAAGTTCGGCTCCTTACTTGTGCATCCTCTTTTCCCCGCCTTGCCATCGCTCGGGCGTCCAGTTCCTGCGCGTTTGTCGGTTTCGTGCGTGCTATTCTTGCCTGATTATCGAGGGTGCTCCTCTCGATGACCCTCACCGAAAAAGGTGCACACACGTCCGAGCGATGCCGCGCAAGGCAGGGGCCGATCGCATTCCCCCTCGCCGCCGCCGAAGCTCCTGTCCATCCCTACCCCTCCCCGCCCCTCCCCCTCCCCACTCGCATGCTCAAGTGTGCTCGCTCCCGCGCGTTCTTGCGTGGACATGAGGAAGGTGCCTTGGATCAGCTGATGCGTTGCAGCATCGTTGACGCATCCTGGGTTTACCCCGGTCCTCCCCCTCCCTCCCCCTCCCCCGCCCCCTCGGAAGAAGGAAGGGAGCGGAAAAGCGAGGGGGTGACGGGAGGAGGAGGAGGGAGGGAGTCCCTCCCTCCTCCTCCTGCTCCTCCTCCTCCTTCCTCAACATGACGGCGCGCAGACTGATGCAATTTTGCGAACGACTTCCCTCCCTCTCCCTCTCGCAGGGTGTCTAACTTTGCGCTTCGCGCTGCGCGAAAGCGCGAATAACTTCGCGCTCCCAAGCCGCCTCCCCGCGCGAGGCGAGGATTTCGGAGCCGAGCCGCGAGGCGCGCAGCGCGAATAAGGTCGCGCCCTCGAGGTCGCCCTTGTGCTCGCGCCGTGCCAACAGCAAAACAGGACGGGAGGTTCTTCCTCGTTTCCGGCCTCCAGGAGCTTTCCTGGGGCCCGAGGACTGTTCCAGACATGCTCGCGCCGCGACCCTCTCCCCGTCCCCCCTCCCCCTCCCTCCTTCTCCCCCCCCTCGTCTCCCCCCCCCTCCCCCTCCACAGTTACTCAATATGAATACTACTCTCCGTCTTCTCCTGATGACGTGCTGGGAGTGTTCGCCCCCCCCCCCCCGCGTATTGTTTTTTAACACACAGGATTCCCGGAAGTTGGGTTTTCGCCTGCACTGTTTTCCAAAATGCTGTTTTCGCTGAGGCGCCGGCTTCATGTTCGGGCCCCGCTCGTTCCGAATCGTGCTCCCGCTGCAGCGTGGGTCTCATTTTCGGATCTGTGTTTTGCCTCCGTCGTTCAGGATGGCGTTCTCGCTCCAGCGCGGGCCTCTTTCTCGCGCGTCCGTCCGCCCGCCACCACTTCACCGCGCCCCGCCCCGCCCACCGCCACTTCCACCCACCAACGCACGCACGCACGCACGCACGCGCACCGCCACCACCACCCCACCACCCCACTCACCACCACCACGCTACACCGCGTCACACCACATCACACGCACGCGCACACAGACACACACGCACGCACGCACGCACGCACGCACGCACGCACGCACGCACGCACACACACACACACACACACACACACACACACACACACACACACACACACACACACACACACACACACACACACACACACACACACACACACACACACACACACACACACCACCACCGCCACCACCACCACCGCCATCACGCACGCACGCACCTGGCCCACCACCAAACCACCAAGACGCCACACCACGTCACACCTCAGCACACGCGCACACACGCACACACACACACACACATACACACCACCACCACCACCACCACCACCACCACCACCACCACCACCGCAACCACAACCACAACCATAACCACAACCACGCACACACGCACGCACGCACGCACGCACGCGCACCACCACCCACTACGCACGCGCGCGCGGAGCCACAGGTCCGCTACGACACGCGTCCGCGGATAGAGAAAATCAGCGCCATGGTAAGGGATGGGAGGGAGGGGTAGGACGTCAGATATGACGCGAGCGCATATAGCTTGCCCCCCCCCCTCACCCTTCCTCCCTCCCTCCTCCCTCCCCGCGCCCGCACGCCCGCCCAGCCGGCCGATCCTCCGCGGCCCCGGCACTGCAGGCGCGGCCCGCCCGGAGAGGCGCCCAGGCGGCCTCTCGCCGGCCGGCGGGCGGCGGCGACGACGACGACGACGACGACGACGACGACGGCGACGACGACGACGACGGCGGCGACGACGGCGACGACGACGACGGCGACGACGACGACGACGGCGACGGCGACGGCGAGGAAGGTTGAGGCGAAAAGAAAACTATGACGACAGCGATGGCGGCGGCAGCGGCGACGACGACGACGACAAGGACAACATCGACCAGGATGGCGACGACTACAACAACATAAGACGGCGACAACATCAACAACGGCGTCGACGACAGCGTCGATGACGACGGCGACATCGACGACGACGGCATCGTCTACGACAAGGAAAGTTGACGCGGGAAGAGGACTGCAACATCGACGACGAAAAGAGACGACGACCAGAAGATACGACGATGAAGGAAAGCCGACGATGGCGAGGGGGGGGAAGACGACGACGTCGGCGAGGGATCAGTCGACTGCAGGCGGAGCCGGATGAAAAGAAGGATGAGGAGGGGAAGGAGGAGGAGCACCAGCAGCAGGAGTTGGAGCTGGAGCGGGGGGGAGGAGCAGAATCGGGTCGGCCACCTGGGAGGAAGTGTTGGAAGGCGAGAAGGGCGAGAGAGCGAGAGCGTCGGGGGATGCCAACAAGGGCTGTTGCACGGCTCCGAGCCGCGCCCAGACTCTCGGGATCTCTTCTGAATCGAATGTGGACTGTCTGGACGGTGACGAACCTCTCTGCAGAGCCCCAACCTTGCCGCGATGCAGCCGACACCGCACCTGGGCATCCCAGGGGGATGCCGGCCAGGGGCGTTGCGCGGGCCCCTGCGATCCCAGATTGCAGGGGTCCTCAAGACGAGCGCCCGTTCTTGTCGGGTCGGGCGAAAGGGGGGGATAGCAAAGGGGGGGCGTGAGAGTCAGCTCACGTAGCTGATTTTCCCGGCGCCTCCCCGCGCCGGAGGCGGCTATGTATCGAGGAATGGGCCCCTCGGTGGGGCCGAAACCAGCTGCATGCAGCAGATTTCGTAACCCCCCCTTTCCCTATCCCCCCCTTTCGTCCGGCCCGATCTTGGGCGTAGACGCATCTCCTTCCAGAGCCGCACGAGCACCGCGAGGCAGCAGGCATCGCACGCGGGCGCCACAAAGGTCTGTCGATTGGGGGCGCTGCGCAGGCCCGCTCGCGCCTAGATCGTCGAAACCTGTCGCGTGTCCCCTACAGGGGGATTTGCGACGGAAAAAAATAGTCAAAAAATATTCCAAAATTGTCAAAACTGGAAAACATAGTCCCCAGAGTATTTTTTTTACTATTTTTGAATATCTCTCCTGTAGAGGGACAGGCCCGACTTAAGCCTAGATCGTCGAACCTGTCAAGTAGAACGCCGGTACGTCTTGTTTTCTTTCAAAGACACAAACAGGATCGGCACGCTTACGATCACCGTGGAATGGCATGCATCACACCTGGGCCTTCCAACAGGTGTCGACCATGGGGTGTCGCACGGGCCCGTTTAGACCTGGGTTGTTTGGGGCTCTCTGGTGGAATGGCCGGGCGGGGGGAGAGACGTGTCTATCTTGAGAGGCACGTTCTCGTCGTGATGCAGCAGGCATCGCTTTTGGGCCTCCCACGGGGTGTCGACCAGGCGTGTTGCACGGGCCCGGACTTACAAGGGGGCGCCGACCAGGGCTGTTGCACAAGCCTGTTCGCGCCTAGGTTGCTGGGATCTCTCAGGTGGTACGTAGTTTTGTTTTTCTGTTTATGTAGACGTGTCAGAGCCGCGTCATCATCACAATGTAGAAGGCATCGCATTTGGGCCTCCCATGGGGGTGTCGACCAAGCGTGTTGCAAGGCCAATTCGTGCCTGGATTGTCGGGACGTGTATGGTAGATTGGTCGTTCTGGGAGGGAAGCCATTCCATGTTTCAGAACCACATGCAAATCGCGATGGTGCAACCATCGCACTTGCCCCCTCCCAAGGGTGTTTCGACGATCAGTTTTCGACGGGCCCATCCGTGACCAGATTGCTGGAACTTTTATGTAAGAACGGCCGCATTTGGGGGTGAGCGTACCCTCCTCGTCCTCCGCCTCCTCCTCCTCCGTCACCCTTTCTCCTGGTGTCGTTGCTTCATTCCTCCTTGTGGTCCAGGCCCAGGGTGCCATGGAGGGTACATGAGGGACCCAGAAAGCTCCAGGAGGCACCCAGAGGCTCCAGGAGGGCCCAGGAGGCCCCATGATGCCCCCCGCCCATGCTTGGACCCGTACAAGAGTCCGCTCCTACTCAGACCCACTCGGATTCAGCGGCTCAAAAGGAGGCCCGCTCATTTATCCCCAGACGCACTCGCACTCGGATTCAGACCGATCTAGATTCATTCATGCGCAGACCCATCAGCACATTCGGAACATGCCGCACTAAGACGCACGCACACTCAGACACCCTCGCACCCAGATCCCCTGGCATTCAAACTCAAACACTGAGCCGCTCATGCTCATTCACTCACACTCGCACTCTCCCAGATTCCGACCCACTCATATTCACCCCTGTTCGCAACTACTCAGGCCAACTCATACTCAAACCCATTAATTTCAGGACTAACCAAATTTCAGGCCTACTGCTGGTACCCAGAGCAATTCACATCCAGACTCACGCATACGCAGTCACTCATAGCTTGGGCACGAGCGACGGACCTATCCATAGATTCATGCCCTCACGATCTGGACACAGCAGCGCGACCACATGGATACACGATCCAATGGATCTGTTCCGCGCGGGGCTGTTGTGTCTCCATCGGGTCGCAGACGAGGGGTCCCAACCGCGAGGCTGTGGATATGGACACAGTCGGAAAAATGTTCTAAACACGTTGCAAGCATGTGTATTACAGGTTTGAAGCACATGTTTAACACATGTTGTAGGCATCTGGAACTTATTTGGCAACATGCTTCCTCTCCACTGATCGTCCTCCACGAGCCCAATCATTGTAACTCAGACCTGCTCGTGTCGGCCGTTCCGTCTCCGTGCGACCCGCACTCCGGCTCGCAGGCACCGAGACACCGAGCAGGGGAGGAGGCCGCCAGAAGATAGCTGCACTCACGCGGCTTCTCGGAGGAGAAACGAGGAGAGGGGGATGAGGATGAGGACGAGGATGATGATGATGATGGTGATGGTGATGGTGATGGTGATGGTGATGGTGATGATGATGATGATGATGATGATGATGATGATGATGATGCTGATGATGATGACGAGGAGGAGGAGAAGGAGGAGGAGGAGGAGGGGGAGGAGGAGGAGGCCAGAAGAGAGAGATGCAGCGAGAGGGATAGGAGGGCGCCCGGCCGTGCGCCGGAGGCCCGGGGCGGGCCGCCGCCCGCGACGACGGCGGCCTCACGCGACGGGCCGCGGCTCGGGCCGCTGCCGGGGCCGCCGAGGGCCGCGGCGGGCCGCCGCGGGCCGCCCGCGGTCGCCGAGGGGCCAGCGACGGCCGCCGAGCGCGGCCTGGCCGCGCGGGAGCCGGGCCCGCGCGCAGCAGCCGCGGTGGCCCGCGCCGCTGCCGCCGCAGGAGAGGTACTCGTGGCCTCAGCCAGACCCAGGCTCCTCCTCTCCCTCCTCCTCCTCCTCCTCCTCCTCCTCCTCCTCCCTCCTCCCTCCCTCCTCCTCTCCCCTCCTCTCCCTCCTCCTCCTCCTCCTCCCTCCTCCGCTCCTCCTCCTCCTCTCCTCCTCCCTCCCTCCCCCTCCTCCTCCTCCTCCTCCCTCTCTCCTCCTCCTCCTCCTCCTCCTCCTCCTCCTCCTCTCCTCCTCCTCCTCCTCCTCCTCCTCCTCCTCCTCCTCCTCCTCCTCCCGCAGCATTCGGCGGCCTTCTTCCCCCTGAAGGGTTGCTCAAGGAGTCTCCCCTAGTCAAGTGGTCGATCCGCCAAGAGCGAAGCCGAAGTCGGGGGGAGATCCGAACATTCCTCAGAAAGGAGAGCCCACTACAGAGAACGCGGGGTTGCCAGCTCCACTGCTCGAGCCATCGCTCCACTCTCCCCGCCCGCAACTTGGCCTGCAAAGCCCATCCGGCGGCGACTGCGACAACCGCTCGGCCGTGGCGGCGCGTCTCTGCAGCTGCGCCGGCACGCGCGAGCTCGCGCGCAGAGCGGCCCATTCTGGCTTGGCACAGCCGATGCGGTCGCGATGGCGCTTGGCAGAGGCACGCGTCGTTCATGTCTCATCGTGCTCATTTCTAATGATGCTGACTTCTAATTGTTCCTGGCCCCCTAGGTGGCCAGGAAGAGGTCCAGGACAGGACAGTTAAGAACGGAAGGATCTTAGCCCCCCCAAAAAATCAAAGAGCTCTCGAAGACTTGGAAGTGAACAGCGTGTAACTCTCCAGCTCGTGTCAAGGACAACGCTGGCACGCGGGCGCTTCAATGCTGGTCGGTGGCTCGGGCGGGCGCGGTATCGAGATAATGGCGGCAATGGCGAAAACAATGATGATAGCAGCGGAGGTGGTGGCGATGATGACGACGCCAACGACAGAGCCGATGCTGGCAACGCCGATAGCGATGATGATGTCCATGTGTCGACAGTTGATGGAGGTGCTTGGGCGATGATGGCGGCGCTGGTGAAGGTTATGGTGAGCAAGTGCGCGCTCGCGGCAATCCAAGAAGCCTACCACACTTCGTGTTGAGAAAACGTGTGTGGTTGTTTCATGCGTGTCTGAAGAACTCACGTTTGAACTGCTTCGGAAATCGATGGACTTCGAAATATTTTAATGCGTTTATCCAAGAACCCTACCAAACTTCGTGTTGAGAAAACGTGCGTGGTTGTTCCGTGCGTGTTTCAAGACCTCTATGTTGAAATGCTTCGGGAACCTATGTTCTTCGAAGGATTTCCAGCACGTTTGCGCGGCGGCGCGGGCGTGGCCCGCATGGTATTCGCACACTGGGCGCATGCTGGATCAACGCGGGCGGGTGCACCGCGTGGTGGGATGAGAAGGCCGGTCGACAGGGTCAAACACATATGGTTGTTCTACGGTTTCAGCTGGCGCGCGCGGACAGAACCGTTGCCAAGCTACCGCAGAACGACCTGAGGGTCTTCGACGTGTGTGTGTGTGTGTGTGTGTGCGTGTGCGTGTGTGTGTGTGTGTGCGTGTGTGTGTGTGCGTGTGTGTGTGTGTGTCTGTTTGTGTGCGTGTGTGCGTGTGCGTGTGTGTGTGTGTGTGTGTGTGTGTGTGTGTGTGTGTGTGTGTGGACGTCCTTGCCGCCAAGTTGGTGTGTGTTTGGTATGGTTTCGGCATGTGCTCGCGTGTGGATTTCGTTCCAGTGTTGTTTTTACAGAAAACTACTGGAAAATAACCTTCTGGGATTAACGGGTGGGCGCGCATCGCAGGATCTGGCAAGGATGAAGGGAGGAGGGGTGCGGGAACCGCCTCGGATGGTATGGAAAACAAGCGGCGAGGCAGCATCTATGCAATTTGCAATAATCCAGGGGGACGAAATTCGGGGGGCAAGTGTGATAAGGTCTGTTCTTCTTTGGAAAGGAGGCTATACGAGTTGCGAGCTACGCGATGCATTCGGCGTGGTGCAAACTACGCGTTGCAATGGGCACCTCAGCATTGAGACGTCAACTCCACGACTGGCGCAAACATCCCAACCTCCCATCAACAACGTATCGACGAACGCATGGGCCCACGCAACTCAACCGCGCAGAGAAATGCGCCCTGCAAGTCGCGAGCTAATGGCAACGATGGTGGCGACCGCGACGCAACTGGTCACGGCAAAACACAAAGGTGATGGCGCTGACGCCGATGGTGATGGCTGTGATGACGGTGATGATATGATGCCGATCAGGACGAGGGTGATGGTGCTGAATATACCACTCGGCCGGAAGAAATGGGTAGACACATGAAGCAAGACGGGGTTGAACATAGATTGGGTTCCGTCTGCCCCCTTGGGAGGACGGAAAAGGTGAAGCCACTTGATCATCGAAGCAGGAAGGTGCTTAAAGCAGATTGGCATTTGGGAATCCAGCAGTACCCACTTTCAACGACCGATGCGTAATGCTGATAAGAATGAGGGTGGCAACGATGGCGTTGTCGATGATGACGATGGCGCGGGTGATTTCGGTGGGGGAGTGCCCGCGCAAAGACGTTCTACGAGGGAGACGACATCGACGGTCAGGCTGACGGCGGCGGCACTGACGACGACGTTGGTGATGATCATGATGACCACAACGGCAATGGTTACAATGATGAGGCTGATGAGGTGGCAATGGCAATGGCAATCGTGACAATGACAATGGTAAGGGTGACAGTAACGGTGATAATGAAGATGATGAGGTGGCAATGGCAATGGCAATCGTGACAATGACAATGGCAGTGGTAAGGGTGACGACAACGGAGGGGGTGAGGAGGAGGAGGAGGATGCCGCTGACGGTGGTGCCGACGAGGATGGCGAGGAGGTGCGCGCACCGCAGAAACGCAAGCACCCCCGGCTTAGAACACCTCCGTGCAGCGGCGCTTGGCAACCTCGTGACTCCATGCACGGGGCGAGACGCGCAGCGTGCGGAGCCGCGCGCGTGGCCCGCACGGCATGAGAGTTCTCCCGGGACTGTTGCGCGCGCGCCGTGGCGGTCGAGTGCTTTGCGACGTGTCCGCGCGAGCGGCCCCCTTGCGATCTCTTTTGACGGTTGTGTGTTTCGGTTGGTTGTTGCGCCGTTGACGGCAACACCACTTCGCTCTCCCTCCGGGACTTCGCCTCCGGCTCCTGTCCAAGGCGTACCTGTTCCTGTGCAGGCTCTTCGGCACCGCCTGAACCCCGCACCCTCCGGCCGCCTGAGGCCCCGCCCGCCCGCGCCCTGTCTCCCCAATTAGTGCTTCGCGCGCCCCGCCTAGCTCTTAACCGGAAGAGGCCCGCTCTCGACCCGCCGACCAAAAAGTGCTTCGGTTGGTTCAAATGCCATGATGGTTTCCTCCAGATTGCAGCTCATGCGCGCGTGCGCGGGACTCTCCCATTTTGCCCGCTGGAAAAACTAAGCTGGTTGTTGTTAGTCCTTGAGCCGCCAGGTTTGGAACACTGTGGACGGCCAGTGCATGATGCTGACGCTCGTGCGCGGCGGCGCCCGCAAGTGCCGAGCGTCTTAGGAAACATCGAACTTCTTAGACAAGCGCACGCGCACCGGACGATGCTGCCGCTGCAGGCGATGGGGGGCGACGATGACGGCCTGGTTAGCATGCTGCTTGCTGCCCTTTACGATGAGCCGCCGTGCGGGATGAAACAATCACTCGCGGAGGGCTCGGCGGAGGGCGGCGCCTACCTCGCACAACACATAGCCCGCGAAGGTCCCGACCACGTGCCGCCTGCGAGTGTCGCAAGACAGGTAGAAACGAAAGTAGGGGCTGCTATGGGGCCACGAAGCGTGCGAGGGATGTGCCAAAATGGGCGCGGTCACGCGTGTGATTCCTGCCGATGAGGCCTTCGGCGGAGCTCCCTACGGAGCCACGAAACAACCAGGTGTGTGCAGCAATGGGCACGGTAACGCATGCGATTCCTGTCATTGGGGCCTTCGGTGGAGCTCCCTATGGGGACACGTGTGAGGGGTGTGCTGACATCGGCACGGTCACGCATGCGATTCCTGCCATTGGGGCATTCGGTGGACCACCCTGTCGGGCCACGAGATGTCTGAGGAGTGCGCCGAAATGGTCCGAAGAAGGCACGCGAGAGCAGCCGCTGGGGAGTTAGGCGGAATTCGCATATGGGACCACGACGCGTGTGAGGGATGTGCCGACATGGGAACGGTCACGCAAGCGATTCCTGCTTATGGGGTCACGTGTGAGGAGTGTCCGGAATGGGGGCGGCCACGCGTGCGACCCCTGCCACAAGAGCAGTCGGAGGAATCCCCTATTGGGTCACGAAGCGCTTGATGGGTGCTCCGGAATTTTCTGGAGAAAGCATGCGAACGCAGCTACTGGCGCCTCGTATGGAGCTCCCCATGGGGCCACGAAGCGCGTGAGGGGCATGTGGTTGCGGCATGTGGGCGCAACCACTGGGGACTTAGACGGAGCTCTGTATGGGACTACGCAGCATGTAATGGGCGTGCCAAACTAGGGTGGTTGCGGCAGTGGCTGGCGGCATGTGGGCACAACCACTGGGGCCTGAGGTGGAGTCCCACATGAGGGGGGGGGGGGGGAAACGTGTGAGGGGCGCGCCAAAGTGCGAAACGTGTGGTGCGGGGTACGCCAAAATGGGGTGGTCGAGGCCTGCGGGCGCAACCGGTGGGGCCTCAGGTGGAGCTCCTCCCCGCGGGGCCACGGCACGCGAGCGGGGCGCGCCGCGGCGAGATGGTGGTGGCGGCTGGCGGGCGCCACCGCTCGGCGTTCCGCCTCGCAGGACGGCGCGCGCAGCGCGCTCGGCTCCTGCGGCCTGCCATGGGCTTCGCGCACTTTTTAGCTCGGCGCCGTCGCCTCGGCAAGCTGCCCGGCCCAGGCTCGCCAGGCGCCCAAGCCAGAAGACAAACAAAACGCCATAAACAGAAACTTTTGGCGCTCCGGGCGGAACTCTTGGATCTGCGCAGGACCCCCCCTCCCAGGCGCGCGGAG